CTTTGTATAAGCAGGCACAATGAGGAAGTGGACAAGAATCGATATATTCTTTCTAAACTGATTGACTGTGTAAAAGTTTGTGGTGCCTTTGAATTAGCTCTGCGTAGCCACGACGAGACTGAAGCCGCTGAGAACCCTGGCATTTATAGGGGCCTTGTAAATTTCGCCTCGTCGTTGGACGCTGCTCTGAAGGAGAACTTGGAGGGAGCTACTGTGTTCAGAGGTACGTCTAAAATGATTCAGAATGAGCTGCTGGACTGTATGCTGACTGTTGTTAAGGAGTACATTCACGACTAGGTGACTGCAGCTGATTATGTTGCCATTTAAGCCGATGAAACATCTGACCTGTCTGTCCAATACCAACTTGCCCTTGTACTTCGCTACATCGACCGCTACAATGTCATTCAAGAGAGCTTTTTAGAGTTCATTCAGATTGAAAACGCGAATGCTGAAAACATCGCTCAATCACTTTTGGAAAGGATGAGTGAATTGATCCCACTCAAAGACAAGACAAAATTAATAGCTCAAACTTATGATGGAGCGTGCGTTATGCGGGGTGCCACTGGAGCTCACTCACCACCGCATCAAAAACATTATTGCGTGATAAAAACATGAAAAATACTACCTAAACATAGCCCAACTGTTTAGAAAAAAAAACATAGAACGAATAGCCTAATGCGCATACATCCATCTCTTTTGTTTGAAATGAAAAAAATTTATCTGCTAGTCCTATGTAAAAAAAAAAAAAGGTTTGACTATCAGTCGACTACGGCAAAATCTAACGAATCAGATTTGACTATGAAAATCCTTAGTCGAAAACAGCCCATTTTTTTGTGAACTATCCCTTTAATTACAAGTGGCAGTACTATATACTATAAGCACTATAAGGCGCACCTTCAATTACCTATTTTAGAAAATTTTTCAAACGTTTGACTGGGTTTGCGTTATGCATCCACTAGATGTGCTAAAGGGAATGCAGCGAGTGCGCGGCGTCGGAGGTGAGGCGTTTATTTAGTAAGTGTGAGCGCGCTGGGGCGGGCACGTAACTTACATTCACAGCCTGACTCGCTGACAGCAACAGCTAGCTGTTTTGAATGAGACGACCCGGTTAAGCTGCTGAAGATGCTGAGTTCCTCTCCCTGAGCATCCTGGTCTCCCTGACTGCTGGTGAAATCCTGACTACCTGACTCAGAGGCTGTGTCTGTCTCACTGCTGTCACACATGACAGAAAAGAGAGCACAGTCTGGCACAACTTCCTAAAATAAATGGTGAAAAGACCTTACCTACACTGCCATATATATATGTGTATATAAATAGTAATCTTTTACATTAGACTAGTTGATTTGTTAGAGATACACTACCGGTCAAAAGTTATAGATCGGTAAGATTTTTTATGTTTTTAAAAGAAGTCTCTTCTGCTCACCAAGGCTGCAATTATTTGATAAAAATACAACAACAAAAAAAGTAATATTGTGAAATATTATTACACTTTAAAACAGCGGTTTTCAATGTGAATATATAGTGAAGTGTAATTTATTCCTGTGATCAAAGCTGAATTTACAGCATCATTACTCCAGTTTTCAGTGTCACATGATCCTACAGAAATTATCATAATATGATGTTCAAGAAACATGTATGATCATTATCCATGTTGAAAACAGTTTTTTAGTTTTTTACATTTTTATTTCAGGATTCTTTGATGAATAGAAAGTTCCAAAGAAAAGAATTGATCTGAAATGGAAAGCTTTTGTAACATTAATCACTACCATTCAAAAGTTTGGGGTCAGTAAGAATTTATTTTTTATTTTTGGAGGAAAGAAATTAGAAAATACTTTTATTCATCAAAGATGAGTTAAATTGATCAAAAGTTACAGTAAAGACATTTATAATGTTAGAAAAGATTATATTTTAAATAAATGCTGTTCTTTTTAACTTTCTATTCTTCATAAAATTTTGGGGGGAAAAATGGTACACGACTGTTTTCAACATTGAAAATAATAATTTATGTTTTTTGAGCATAAAATCAGCATATTAGAATGACTTCTAATGACACAGAATGACACACACTCCTTCTCGACTAAGTATTCAAAGATATTTACCTGACTGACCTCCGGTAAATCAGACAGGTCTGTAGAAAAAAAATGTTTCCCTCAAAACTTTGTTGAACGGGTCTGGTAGTGTAACGTTGTCACATTTAAGTTTGGCCAAGTAACGGCTCTTTTCTTCTATTGGTAGTCCTAAATAATACTGGCTAGACATAATTTGCTTGTTTCTTCATATGAACTGTTGTTATTGATTCTACCGGAAGTTAAAGGGTTAGTTCACCCAAAAATGAAAATTAAGTCATTAATTACTCACCCCCATGCTGTACCAACCCCGTAAGACCTTCGTTCATCTTCGGAACACAAATAAAGATATTTTTGATTGAATCTGAGAGCTAGATCAGTCCTAGATAGAATGCCTAAGGGACTGGCTCTTGACGGCCTATAAAGTCATTAAAGAAAAGGTTTAAATATTCCATGTGCCTACAGCGGCTCAATTATAAGTTTATCAAGCGACGAGACTACTTTTTGTGCGAAAAAAACATAAATAACGACTTTATTCTACTAATCTATTACTTCCTTATGGGCGCATGCGCGAGAACTGAGACGAGGACGTTCTCCTTCTACTACTTTTTGTTACGGGCTGCTCCGCTTAGGAGTTTTACCGCCCCCTACCGTATAAAATGATGATCCATATATAAGGCGCTCCGGATTATAAGGAACACTGTCGTTTATTGAGAAGATTAAAGGCTTTTAAGTGCACCTTATAGTGCGGAAAATACGCAAATTGAAAAGCGTATGTACAGCGCGCATCTTCCTCTGCTTGTAAACAGAAAGTTTTGCGCTTCCAGCTATATCATCATCTTATACGGTAGGGGGCAGTAATACTCCTAAGCGGAGCAGCCGGTAAAAAAAAAGTAGTAGAAGGAGAACGTCCTCGTCTCAGTTCTCGCGCATGCGCCCATAAGGAAGTAATAGAATAGTCGAATAGAGTCGTTATTTATGTTTTTTTCGCACAAAAAGTAGTCTGGTCGCTTGATAAACTTATAATTGAGCCGCTGTAGGCACATGGAATATTTAAACCTTTTCTTTAATGACTTTATGGGCCGTCAAGAGCCAGTCCCTTAGGCATTCTATCTAGGACTGATCTAGCTCTCAGATTCAATCAAAAATATCTTTATTTGTGTTCCGAAGATGAACGAAGGTCTTACGGGGTTGGTACAGCATGGGGGTGAGTAATTAATGACTTAATTTTCATTTTTGGGTGAACTAACCCTTTAAGTTTGGGCCACAAAAGTGCGCACGCGCAGTAACGTTTGTTTATGTTGTTGCCGTTGAAACCGTCTATACGAGGTTGAACTGCCCGTGTGACAAAGCGGGCATAAGATGGACACGAGCATGAGCAATTGATCCATATATAATGCGCTCCGGATTATAAGGCTTGAGAAAAGCCGCGTTGAGAAAATTAAAGGCTTTTAAGTGCGCTTTATAGTGCGGATAATACTAGTACTACTTTTGCTTTTAGACCAGCACCTGACGTGTTTAATATAGACGCATATTACACCAGATTTTCTCTCAAATGTTTGCTTTCACTTTAGACATAGCCAATTCTGTTTATTTAACAGTATTAGCATAATAAGACTCGAAAGATAACTTAGTCCAGTATTCAGGCGCTGTTTGACAAGCTTCTAGTACCTGTGAGTGTCGGCGGTATGCCACGCGCTCAGGAAAACGCACGTTAGAACAGCGCGTGAATTAAATGTTTAACTGGCAAGGCTTATGCAAATAATGAACTTTTGTGAATTGCAGTGTCCCGTACCTATTCCTTAACATGTGATGTGTAGGCTACGTCGCGTTGTACAGTTGAGACAGAGGCACCAGAACTGATAGAATGCACTGTAACACGATACTACCATATTTCTTCAAAAGCAGATCGTGGAGACATTTACTATTCGTGATATCGCACACCTCTAGAATAAACCATTCAACGACTAGTCGTCGACTGTTATGCAAAACTAGTCGACTAGCAAAAATCAGTAGTTGTGAAACCCCTAGCCCATAGACACCCAGTCTAAAACTGTCACAGGCAACTGTCACAGGCGAAACAATGAACTCCTTCTTGGACCACAGCACAAAGTCACAATATTTAACATCACACACAAAGACGTGAAGTTGACATTGATAGTAGTATGTGTGTGAATTCTTCAATGCGAATGACTTATCCAGACAAAACTGCTCATCTTTTGTACATCCTTGAAGGCTAACGCTGTATTTGTAGGGACACTTGATCTCTACCACCCCTTTGCCACAGCAGGTACATCTTGCTAACCCATCAGGTGATGATCCAAGGTGTGGCTCAGAAGGTTTCACTACTAAGCCACATGAGCTGACGCTGAAATCTGGATGGCTTTGGGACATACATGCAGTGTAAGCTTGTCTTGCCGTTTCCTCCATGTTCTCACCCCAGAGCACAGATGGGACATTTAATTCTGTTCTTTTATACTGCATTATATCATTTGGATGTGTTTTGCTGATCTTGTCAGTCGTGGTCGATTGGTGTAATTTAGTGCTTGTGATTCGACCAGCCCTGTAGGTGTACCAGTCCTTTGACTTTGACTGTTGCCATGTCACAAATTCCAGTTTCTCACATTGATGAGGTTGTAGTGTAGTTTTATGTCTGTGAAATGTATCCTCACATTTCACCTGCACGTCCTGTGGTAAGAGGTCCCTGAGGCCTCGTCCACACTACTGCGTTTTCGTTTAAAAACGGAGAATTAAAACGAAAACGATCTCCGTCCACACTAGCGTTTTACCTGCGTATTAGAATTTATCTCCGTCCACACTAAAACGACTGAAAACGCGGATCATGTGACCATTCACCAACACTGGGCATGCGCGTGCCGGTGTAAACAGGAAACGGATGGACTATTCCTCAGATTGATGAAGCAGCAAGTAACGTTAGCTACCTCTGCAAAGATTAGAAAATGTCGATGAAGACTAGAGATTTCTTTACATGGACCGACGACGAGGTGGAACTTTTACTTAAAGTTACAATGGAATATAAAACAGCCATGGCGGCAGAAAACACAGACTGGGAGTCGTCGCAAACCAAATACTGCGACATATTGGAAAGGTACCGGGAGCATTATCCATCGCCAGAGGAAGCCACAACAATGGGAAAGGTGTACCTCAACAATAAGGACGAAATCACTAAAGGTATGTATAGTTGGCTAAACTTTAACTAAGTTATAACGTATAACGATGCTAGTTATATTAGCAGCTAACGTTAAACTGTTTCTTGTTCACAGGGCAATTGACAACAAAACTCAAGGCTGTACGAATCAGCTACAGGCGAGCGGTAGATGCTGGTCGTCGAAGTGGCCATGGGCGAGTAGTTTTGCTCTATTTTGAGCTCTGCGAGTCAATTTGGGGAGGCTCTCCTGCAACGCATACGATTCAGGGGGGTATCGAGACCGGCAACGTGGCGGCGGAGGCCACGGAGTTCTCCAGCCCAGCTGGTTCTGGGTCATCTGCGGCCCAGTTTCAAGAGAGTGCTGTGTCTCCCGAGATGACGGTGAATCGACGCCAGAGACTCACCGCTACCCTGTGTGGCCACAGGAGAGAACGATTGAAGAGAAAACTCTCCGCAAATTCCGTTGCACAGGAAGACCTGGACATAAAGAGACAGCTCCTTAACAGACTTGAGGCAACAGACAACGAATTCTGTTCCATATATCACATAAGGAAGGTCCTCCATGTTTATGTCCATCGGCCTTCTCAAAGCCGCAAACCGTGCCTTCAAACGTTCGAATGAACATTCGATAACCATGCGAGCCTTGCAAAGAGATAGGCCGAAATACTGCTCCTGTGGAGTAACTCCGCCATTGGGGTACTCCTTCATGAGGTACGGCATAAGCTGGATCCCCCAGAAGGAACACGGGGACAGCATCTTCACCTTCCACTAACTCTCTAGGGCAGGAGGGTATTGTCCCATCTTTTAGGTCAGCACAGAGTTTCGAGTTAGCAAATATGCGCGCGTCGTGCACACTCCCCGGCCATTTTACAACGATACAACGGCCATTATAAAACGATACTGGTGGTCACACAAAGCTTGTACATTCAAAGAATGTTTTCCTTTTCTGTTTATGTAGTCTGTTGAGTTGGCTAAGGGTTGTTTGATTTCGATGTGTACAGTCAATTGCCCACAGGCATTGTGCCATCCCGTGTGTCCGATAGAAGTTCACAACAAGATCCTTCACCTCGGCCTCGGTGCTCGGTGTTTTAATGTAGTCTGGACCCATGAAAATGACGATGGCCTTACATACCTGTCGGATGATTACTGACACAACTTGTCGGGATTGTCCAAATGCATTTGCGATTTTCCGAAGTGTCCCCTCGTCACTCAGATAATACAATATGCACGCTACTTTTGTTAATACATCCATGGGTATCCTCATTTTTGTTGTTGCTCCTTCCACGTGCGGACGTAGTCTTTCACTGAGGTTGATAAGTGCCGCTCTGGACATTCGAAAGTTTTCGCACCATTCCTTAGGGACCACAACTTGATTTTTAAAATTATCCCACCATGCGCTGGTTCTTCCCGGCTTAACCCAAAACCGACGCTCCATGTACGGTTGATACCGCCTCTGCACACGGGAATTGTCGTAGATCGCTCGAATAATAGTTTGCCTCCAGCGCATGTAGGCAGTTATAGCATTGTAAAATGCAGAATTTGCTTGCACAACAGCTGCTAACAAAGACATTAAAGTCAGTAACGCTTGAAATTCGTTATCCATGTTGCAGTCACTAACATTAGCTACGTAGTCCAGGATGTTTTTGTTTGTTTCCTTCCGGGGACGGGACACGTGATGGGTGACAGATGAATCAGGGAAGGACACGTCATGAGTGATGACACCCAATCATAGAGCTGAGTGGGAGTCTCTGCGTCATCGTTTCTAAACTCCTCCGTTTCGTCCCGTCCTTACTAAAACGCCCTCCGGAGATTCAAAACGCAAAACGGAGCTGCAGTGTTTCTAAACTTCTCCGTTTTAGGTCTTCGTTTTTCCCGTTTTAGTGTGGACGGGAGGTGCAAACGTAGCAAAAGTTCTCAGTTTTTAAACGAAAACGCAGTAGTGTGGACGGGGCCTGAGTGTTACATCAAATAAAGCAGTCAATGGCTCAGGTAAGTCAGGATGCTCCTCAGAATCAGTGTCGGATGATGCAGTGTCTGTGTCACTATTTTCCAGGCTTGTCAGCACAAGGGTCCACAACCCGCAGTTCCCGGATGTCATCATCTTTCAACACTGATAATAGCAACAAAATGACAGTTACTGTGCTGCATAATGTTCACATTATAGCTTTAAACACACAGGTGTACAATATAGAACAAACAAATGTAATTACTAAAAAGCAAGTAACCGCAGACCTATTCTAACACAAACTAACATAAGTTATAGTGATAAACATTAAACTATCTGAAGGCATTTTCATCTCTGGAACACCAAGTTACACCTTTCTCATGCTACATTATGGTGTCAAAACACTATGGTAATAGGAAGCTAATCTAGGCTGTCAACTATTACATGCCTCTGGGTGTGATAACAGATATTAAAGGTGCTTGAAGCTGCCTGTCTAGCCTCTTTGGTTTGTGGAAGCTGATTTCCCTCAATAGAGCTGGTCTGACTTCTTTCCTGCTGATGTCTTTCCACATGCACACTCCAGATGTAACTGCTGCTTTCTCAGTCCTTCCCATCCTAACATTGAGCTCAACTTTGAATAATATTGCAACTGCATGACTGCAGCATGACTCAAGCCTGAAATTTCACAAAAACAACATAAACTTACTGGCTGATCAATAATGTTATGAACAGGGCTTGAAAGTAACATTTGATTCAGCCAAATTTCGTTTCGGACTATGAATTAAGTAAACATCTGACTTACTATGCATGTATACGACATAAGCCTAACAGGTTTTGAATGTAACTGAATGATATTGGCTGGCTGTTGCTGACAAAATTGTAGTTTCAAACCCTGGTTATGAGAACATATGAGAATATGTAAAGGAGAGTAGGGTAGGCCTAAGTTAAACCTCAAATGACAGTAACACTGAAGCATAATTCATCTTGTATGTCAACTACAAGCGCAAAACAAATTATAGCCTACTTACCCCGCCATGCAGGTGCAGTTCGTGAGGACGTAGTTCTCTCGTTGGTTGATTATAACCCAAGCCTCATACATCGTTGTCTTGTGTCCTTATCTTTGACTAGGAGAATTTCAGATTTTAACACACAAAACTCTGAGTCTATGTCATGGTATTTGACGTTCTGTACATGACAACGCAGACAACGTATTCATAAGCATCCAGTGATTTATATGCTCGTAATTTCTCTCGGGTGTACACGCTCGGTTTCTCAACTAAATACGTATATATATCTGGCCATCTACTAACGTCTTCTATCCACTCCACTATAGAACACGGATTTGGTAGCCGGATACCATTTGACAAAGTCAACTTTTTAAAGTAATTTTCTCTGTGTTGACATACTGCTAATTCTCGCCATACTTCCGTTGCCAAAATGTGAGCGCATACGTTGCTACTTCATCATTGTGTACAAACAGTAAAAAGGTCTATTGTAGAAAAGTAAGCATATTCGCACCATAGACTGCAAATAAATATGGACGTAGTATCCATGACGTCACCCGTAGGTTTCTGGAGAGCATTTTTGAAGCCTAAAGTGGGCGGGGCCGGCCGTCGCCATCCTGGCAGTGCGTCACCTCTCGTCACTACCGGATCAATTAAAATGGACAAAGAGGCGGAACGTGGGTGGAGCTGAGGTGCTAATGCTATGCTACTGCCCTTGGGCTAAAGTGACAACTGATTGAAAAAGTAAAGCCAATGGTTAAAGTTCATGTTTTTGCCCTCCGAAATATTAAAATAGTTAAGATGTAACTAAAAGTGAGACTATTTACTTTACTTTTTTATCAACTTTATTAATCTCACAAGGTGCAATTAGAGCATGTGTACAAGTACATAACACAGATCACACACATTTCTCACAACATACAAACAGTCAACTATGTGTATCGTGATGCATTATTATTCTGCTAGTTAAAAATGTATTATCATGCAGACAGAAAATACCCGAGGGGTGCATTTGTATGTTAAGCCCACACCAAGCCGACGCCACCAAACTAGCGCTGATTAAAGCCGACTGTGTTGTCGTCTCTCGTCCGCTCTCGTCGAGGTAAAAAGCTGCACTTGAACAGACCGAGAGAACTGCAGCCGACCGTCAGCTATAATGCGTTCTGCGCCTGCGTTTAATGAGCCAACTGTCTATTTCTGCAGATATATTAGTCTATATTCGTCATTCAAAAAGGAAAACCGACGCTGCCGGCTGGAGATACACATACCGTAAACAAAGCAGCGTGTGCTTACCGTTTTGAATATCAGTCCTGCTAAACACTTTCTTTATTCCACTCCGCTCATGTTAATATTGAATATTCGCTAAGGAACACGCAGGTAAGAAGACGTAACATAAGAACAGCCTTCTATCTTTACCGTTTTAACTTCTTTGCTCGCTGTTTTGCTGTTATTCTCGTGCGCTGACTCTTTCACTAAGCTGAACAGCCAATCAGAGTTCTCTCTTTCCCCAACTGCCCGGCGTCGATTCAACGTCGAATCGGGCGAAACAAAGCCGACGAGGACTATTTTCAGCCAACGGCACAGAACCGTGCATATCACACCGAGGAAACTTAGTAGGCCGATGCACAAAATCTGCCAGACGGCCGACCGTCGGCTTGGTGTGTTCCGGGCTTAAGACAACCACTCCCATAATGCACCACATTGCACAGCTCCGCAAGCCACACCCACTAATCTGGAACTGTGTACACATTAGAGTAAAATCACTCTTTTCCGTCTACAAGGCTAACGTTAGCCGTCACCAGAGTTTGAAATTCATTTCACACACAATTTCTAGTTAGTTGGCTGTGGCGAGCAGCACGATGAGGGCGAGTGTAAGGTGAGTGGGTCCCACACCCTTGAATAATAATGAGCTAAAGTTTTTAGTCTCTACACTTTTTAATGAAATGTTACTTCCTGCTTATTATGGTGCAAAGTGACGATTTTTACGTCATAATAAGCAGGAAGTAAAACACTTAAATCCTTATTTCTCCCATCTCAGGGGAAAATAAGTGAATAAACCATGACCATTCAAAAATATGACTGAGTTTCTAAAGATACAAAGCTTAAAGGTGCCATCTGTAATAATTGAAGATAAAATATCCAAAAAATGAACTACACACATCAAAAGAATGAGAAGAAATAAGGTCGATGATGTCATTAAAACAATGACAAGTTATAGTGCTGCCGATATATTAACCTGAATTAGCATGCTAAATTACTAGCCCCGGCCCGGCAGTTGTCATAATACCAGTTTGGGCCATGGGAGGCGGTATCGAGCAGGTAACATATACCACCACCCGAACTGAAATACACGAGTAACACACGGCTTGTGGGTGTCCTTGAACCTGATGACAATCGTATGGAAAGTACAGCCCACTACTACATTTCAGTTCAGGGAAGAGTTCAAAAAATGATTGGTCGACATTATGCATGAGGAATACATTCTGGTAAGTTGTAACATACTGTATCTTTCAACAGTGTTCGTGTTCGGTTCACGTGCGCTAAGGATATGTCGTGTAACATTTACAAGCACCAATAGTGTATGTATTGTTTGAATTGCGTAATAAAGTTGACAGAATCTGAGAGCTAAGATTTTTTATATATCATAACTACCCCGTATTTTCCGCACTATAAGGCGCACTTAAAAGCCTTTAATCTTCTCAAAAAACGACAATGCGCCTTATAATCCGGAGCGCTTTATATATGGATCAATTAGTTAACAACGCTCCGCGTTATTAAATTCGCCCGCGAACTCGCGCTCGTGTCCATCTTATGCCCACTTCGTCACACGGCCAGTTCAACCTCGTATAAATCAGGTTATGTGTGTCTCCCACTCACGAGCGCTCACTCTTAAAGGGATAGTTCACCCAAAAATGAAAATTCTGTCAGTATTTACTCACCCTCATGTTGTTCCAACCCCGTAAAACCTTCGTTCATCTTCAGAACACAAATTAAGATATTTAAGATATTAAGATCACTCCTGCATACAGTCCATAGGCTTCTTGAGGGAATGACTTGCTGTCCTCTAAAAGTAATTAAAGACATCGTTAAAATAGTCCAAGTGACTACAGGGGCTCAATCTTAAGTTTATCAAACGACGAGAACACTTTTGTGCGCAAAAAAAACAACAAAAATAACGACTTTATTTCAACTATTCGTTTATTTCTCCCTCTGCGCGAGTCAGGTTACTAGTTTAATAGCGTAAGCTTCTGTTATTGTACGTCACACGCATCACACACATGACCAGCGTCGGCCAAAAGTGAGCCTACGTGTGACGTAGCTTTACGCAATCACACTACGTTAACTGACTGCAGGCCCATAGAGAAGGAAGTAAAAATTTGAAATAAATTCGTTATTTTTGTTTGTTTTTGCGCACAAAAAGTATTCTCGTCGTTTGATAAACTTAAGTCACTTGGACAATTTTAACGATGTCTTTGATGACTTTTCGATGCCAGTAAGAGTCATTCCCTCAAGAAGCCTATGGTCTAGTATGCAGGAGCGATCTTAATATCTTAAATATCTTAATTTGTGTTCCGAAGATGAACGAAGGTCTTACGGGATTGGAACAACATGAGGGTGAGTAAATACTGACAGAATTTTCATTTTTGGGTGAACTAACCCTTTAACAGACACACTGTCCCCGGCGCTGCTCTCGCGTCACAGAATGTTCATAAAGCGCCCCCCGTTCACAGTAACCGGGTCGTCCCAATCAAATCAGCCAGCCGTTGCTGTCAGCAAGCCGCCGCACATTGAATACTCATATGAGTCAGGCTGCGAATGCAGCTCTGAATGGCGCTAGCCTGGTCAACATCAGCGAATGCTCTCTGTCAAATTAATTAATACTAACAATAAAAATGTAATATGAACAAAACAAATACCGTAAAACTACAAATAATAGCCTGGGCTTTTATTTTCCCATATCGTCGAAATGCACCGGCTTATATTTTATACAGGCGTCTATGAGACGGCCTTTATAATTTAGAGTTGAGATGTTGTTCTTTTAGTCTCTGATCTCTAAAAATCTCCAAATGCTACGTGAAACTGCAGTCTTCCAACATTTTACTATCGTGTCAAATGATTTGATTTATATGCACTAGGGAGAGAGAGCAAAACAGCGCTCGCTCATGTTGTTTGAAGCACGACTCACTTTCTGGAGGTATACTGCCCCCATCTGGTATGGAAAATGGATTATGATTTGATTTTTTATGGTAGATGGCACCTTTAATGCAAATTGGTGAATTGTCCCTTTAAAGAGTCCAATTAACTGAAAAAGCTTAAAAAGGTTGTTTTTTTTTTTTAATTAATTATAAAAATAACTATAATTAATTGTAATTACATACGATACACATTGTGGGGTGTCATTTTTCTGCCTTTTTTCTTTACACTAAAAAAAAATAGAAAGAGAAATTTCAGCCAATAATTTTCAGGTTTAATGATAGTTAACAAATTTGCAAATGTTATAATTTAAAAATGAATTCAGAAATCAAATTCATTTTTTTTTTTTTAAATTTATGAACATATACCTGATGAACATTTCTTTCCAGTCTCTTTTCATTTTGGTATTTTTTATTTTCTTTGAGTAAGTGTTCAATTAAAATTAATTAAATCATTTTCTTGTTCTCCAACATATAAAACACAAATCTTGAGGCATTTCACAGCAACACTAGTTTATTAGTTAACTAACTACACATTTACTTTATGTGAATCTAACAAAACAGTTGCTCACTGTGACGCAGAACAATGCTTTCTAATATGAGTCACTAGATTACTTGATTGGGTGAAACTCTTTCCACACTGAGTACAGTCGTACGGCTTCTCTCCAGTATGAACTCGCTCGTGTGATTTCAGGTGTCCAGACCGAGTGAAACTCTTGTCGCAATATGAGCACTTGTAAGGTTTTTCTCCAGTATGAATTCTTTGATGCCGTTTCAGATCACGAGATGTAGTAAAGCTCTTCCCACAGTCACAGCAAATATAATCTCTCACTTCATTGTGTGTTTTCTGGTGCAGTTTAAAATTGTTCATCCTTGAAAAACTCTTTCCACAGAGAGAACACACATAAGGCTTCTCATCTGAATGAACTTTTAGGTGTGATTTTAGATTTGATGATGAAATAAAATTTTTACCACACTGATCACAGTTAAATGTTTTTTCTCCAGAGTGAATGAGCAGATGACCACTGAGATGTGATGCTCGAGAAAAACTCTTTCCACACTGAGTGCATGTATACGGTTTCTCTCCAGTGTGAATTGTCATGTGTGTGTTAAGGGCTTGTTTCCATGAGAAACTCTTTCCACACTGAGTACAGTCGTATGGCTTCTCTCCAGTATGAACTCGCTCATGTGATTTCAGGTTTCCAGACCGAGTGAAACTCTTGTCACAATATGAGCACTTGTAAGGTTTTTCTCCAGTATGAATTCTTTGATGCAGTTTCAGACCATGAGATGAAGTAAAGCTCTTCCCACAGTGACAGCAAATATAATCTCTCACTTCATTGTGTGTTTTCTGGTGCAGTTTCAAACAGTTCAGACGTGAAAAACTCTTTCCACAGAGAGAACACACATAAGGCACATTCTCATCTGAATGAACTTTCAGATGTGATTTTAGATTTGCTGATGAAATAAAATCTTTACCACACTGATCACAGTTAAATGTTTTTTCTTCAGAGTGAATGAGCAGATGAACACTGAGAGTTGATGAATAAGAAAAACTCTTTCCACACTGAGTGCATGTAAACGGTTTCTCTCCAGTGTGAATTCTCATGTGTCTGTTAAGTTGTCCTTCCCATGTGAAACTCTTTCCACACTGAGTGCAGGTGTGCATCTTTTTGGCTTTTGTTCTTTGAATTGTAAAGTTACGATGTTCCTCCTTCACTTCATTCAGTTCTTGTCTTTGCTCTTTCACTCTCACCTGGTCTAAAATACACAGAAATACAGTTCGAATCAGTTCAAGTGAACCCTTATTTAATAGCAGAAAACAACAAATATCTTTCACTTTTTTTCCTGTCATTCATTGTTAATATAGTAAAAATATGTTTGCAAACTGCTACAAGGTTATGATCATTTAGATGTATTTCTCTAACATTTATCATCCATATACTGCTTATTAATTCACATCTACCAAACTATCAACAATGAAGAATCAAGAATGGACACCAACCTATTTGTTCCTCAGTATCTTCATGTTTTATTCTGGATGGTTCTGGATCACTCATGTCTTCAATCTCCTCTTTAATAAACTCCATCTTTAACAGTCACACAGATTTCAGCTGCTACTCCTGGAGTTTGTCCTTCTCTTGTAGGATGATGGGAATAATCCCAGTATTTATTGGTGAATTGTTGTGGGAGGGGCTTCACTGCAGGTGTGAACTGTGATCACTGTGTTTTTATCCAATCTGCATTTACAAAGTACAGGATCATCATGTTAAACTGAGCAGCTGAAAAACCTCTTTGTCTCCAAAAGTTCCCTGTTTTTAGATCATTCATTATACAGACGGTGGGCTGATCGCTGCCATCTGCTTTAGTTTTTGAAATGATATATCCTCGAGCATAGGTGCCGATTTATGTTTTCCTCCGTGGGTGCTCATGGGCGCACACCCTTTAAAAAAACAAAAAAACAAAAAAAAAAACAAAGTAGTCAAAAAATGCTTGCTTAAATGCTTGATTAATCTCTCACCTGCACGACAGCCCTTGCTTAATGAGTGACAATAAGGACAGAACTAAACATTCAAACGTTGTTACACTTTAGATACTGGATATTATTCTAATTTTATTTTAGATTTCCGCTTTCAAAGATTATTAAAAAAAAGAGATATTCGAGATGAAACCATTACAGACGGATTCCGTCTAGCGCAACTTCCTTCCCTTTACAGCGTTGCGCTGTCATTTCTTCCTAAAGGCCCTTTCACACCAGACGCGTAACGGAAAAGCGAAACGAAAAAGCGAATAGTTCGCCTTAGAAAAGTTCGCGTCAAAAAACCATTCACATCAGCCGCGACGCGAATTTGCGACGTTCAGAGCTTGAACATTCCAAAACATTCGCGCCGAGGGTGAACACCTGGCTATTGCTCTGTTGCAGGAAAGCAGACCTGATTTTCATCAGAAAACGTACTCTATACTTATTATTATAGCCTACTAGATGAGTAAATATAGATTTTATATTCGATGTCTTTTTGCAGTGATGTTAAAGGAGAACTCCGGCGAACAATGAACCTTTGGTCTAATAAAACATCGGTACATAGTCAACCGTTCTCTGAGATTTGTTTTCATGATAATCGAATGTAAAGAGTTTTATCTCTAAAAACTGTTTAGCGTATAATGCTAGTAATGGGGACATTGACTAAGTAAAAAGAAATCGCTATTTTATACCACTAACAAGGCTCAAAATAGCCCCACACTAACGCAGTAACATTATGAGGCTCCATACATGCAAAACGAAGCATTGTGAACTTTGTAAGTGTACAGACCGTTTAATAAGAAGATACTTTATGAAGACAGTTCACTTCGTGTATACAGACAGGAGCCATCTTAAAAAATAGTCTCGATAAGTCAAACCACGAACGTCGTGCTGAGTGATCTGAACTGTATGAAGTTCAGCGAACTTCTGAACGGCGTTCGGGGATCGATTATCGAGACTATTTTTTATCGAGACGAATATAGACTAAAATATCTGCAGAAATAGACAGTTGGCTCATTAAACGCAGGCGCAGAACGCACATTCTAGCTGACAGTCGGCTGCAGTTCTCTCGGTCTGTTCAAGGGCAGCTTTTTACCTCGACGAGAGCGGACGAGAGACGACAACACAGTCGGCTTTAATCAGCGCTAGTTTGTTGGCGTCGGCTTGGTGTGTTCTTGGGCTTAAAACCCAAACATACCGTCAGAATCAGCACAATCGGTGATTGTTGTAAAATGCACTCTGTATTGCTGCTAAATTGCGGACGCATTTAATGATTAAAAGAGCTATTAAAAGCACAAAAATCTGCGCAAGAGACGCTGAAATGCACTGCAACGAGACAAGAAAAGTAGGCTATAGCCTACTTCATTTTGGTCTTCATGTGCGCATCTAAACTATCAAATATACATAAAATATAAAATGACCTGCTCTGAGATTCATTTAAACACAATTTATGTCTTAAATGGACGTAAATAGTTGGGAGAAAATGAAGGTGCATCAGTCATCTATTAGATCTGCACTCGGTCTTAAAGGGGCAGTAGTCTAATAAATAGGGCTGCACGTTTTCAAGTTTTTCATTAACCGTTAACCCTTGTGCATTGTTCAAATTCACTACCCTTTCGTTATGTTCGTGGCTGAAAAAAGCCACTACTTTAAACTGCTGTAAAAATGTATCAGATAAATATTTTTTTCAAATTTTTTTGCATAAATCTATTAACCGACCTCAGTCCTGATCAAAACTAGTAAATTTTTTAAAAAAATTCAGGATTTTAACTCTTTAATTGCCAAATTCATAAATGATGTCACTGATTTGGGGGGAAAAAAAACACAAAATGACTTATTTTCAATATAAAATATGATTGTGGACTGGATTTTTTTTTACCTTTTATCACAGTCTTGGACATGTCAAAGATTAGAAACAACATTGGTTTTGATGCATTGTTAGTTTTTGTGTAGCATCAGATTTTAACTTTTTCTCCCTCATTTACTGTTCGTGGCTGTTTTTGCCCCATTGACTTCCATTATAACCACATTTTTTGATTGCAAAGCCATGACACCATAAAATCATGCATTTTTGATTGTTGATGGTTTTCCCTGTTGGGAAGAGGTAAAATTTGTAATTTTTACTGTTGATAACCAGGTGGAACCATTTAACCCTTTAGACAGGCCTGTGCAAAAAAAAGCTTAGTTTCTGGCTTTTACATGCAGTTATATGGAGTATAATAGCATATTACAGTGTGTATATGTGTGTGTGGGTGTGCGTGAGTGTGTGAGAGAGTGTGAGAACTCACCTTGATGCGTCTGAGAAAATAAAAATATACACTTCAGCTCTCAAAACTACATGGAGTAAACAAAAACAAAGTAAGTGTATTTATGCATCTGCTGCCTTTTGATGGTGAGAAATGCAGACTAAACAAAAACAAAGCAAGTGGATATAAACGCTTGTCATTTGATGGTGAGAAGAGCAGCAAGCAACATGAGAGAGGGCTTGACTTGTAGTGAAGTTTTAGAGATGATTATGCAGTCTGACCCCTCCAGCGAGCTGCAGGAGGTATTGTCTTCTCACTCTGACCGCAGACTCAGGACAGTCAGATCCTGGTTTGGATGTGGCACCCTCATCATCATCTCAAGCTTCCACTGAAGGCGAGGAGGATTCAGATGATCCTGGATCTGGATGGACTGGGAGAATCTTCAGAGGGACATGGTGGCTCTGAAAATTGCATGACCACTGCGATCATCCCACAGGCAACGTGTGGACTCCCCTCTGGATCTGTAGACGCTGGCCAAAATCAGTAGCCCCATGCAGAGAGATCTGTGGAGTCCACAGATCCAGGATCCTCTGAATCCTCCTCGCCTTCAGTGGAGCTCTAGCTTCCACTGAAAGCAGGAGGATTCTGTGGATCCTGGATCTGGGGGGATTGGGAGAAATGGTGAAGTATGGTTTTCCACCAATGCGGAGACAATTCCCTTTCTTCAGCCTGCAAGAGGCGTGAGTCGAGGGCCGACACGCAATGCTATCGCAATGGTTCAGAACATGGATTCTGTGTTCAATCTGTTTTTTACGGAGGAGACGACTGACCTCATTGTCAGCATGACCAACCTCCATGGGCACCGCACAATGAGAAACTGGACTGGGGTGGACTCCACAGATCTCTGTGCCTACATGGGGCTACTGATTTTGGCCAGCGTCTACAGATCCAGAGGGGAGTCCACACGTTGCCTGTGGGATGATCGCAGTGGTCATGCGATTTTCAGAGCCACCATGTCCCTCTCAAGATTCTCCCAGTCCATCCAGATCCAGGATCATCTGAATCCTCCTCGCCTTCAGTGGAAGCTTGAGATGATGATGAGGGTGCCACATCCAAACCAGGATCTGACTGTCCTGAGTCTGCGGTCAGAGTGAGAAGACAATACCTCCTGCAGCTCGCTGGAGGGGTCAGACTGCATAATCATCTCTAAAACTTCACTACAAGTCAAGCCCTCTCTCATGTTGCTTGCTGCTCTTCTCACCATCAAATGACAAGCGTTTATATCCACTTGCTTTGTTTTTGTTTAGTCTGCATTTCTCACCATCAAAAGGCAGCAGATGCATAAATACACTTACTTTGTTTTTGTTTACTCCATGTAGTTTTGAGAGCTGAAGTGTATATTTTTATTTTCTCAGACACATCAAGGTGAGTTCTCACACTCTCTCACACACTCACGCACACCCACACACACATATACACACTGTAATATGCTATTATACTCCATATAACTGCATGTAAAAGCCAGAAACTAAGCTTTTTTTTGCACAGGCCTGTCTAAAGGGTTAAATGGTTCCACCTGGTTATCAACAGTAAAAATTACAAATTTTACCTCTTCCCAACAGGGAAAACCATCAACAATCAAAAATGCATGATTTTATGGTGTCATGGCTTTGCAATCAAAAAATGTGGTTATAATGGAAGTCAATGGGGCAAAAACAGCCACGAACAGTAAATGAGGGAGAAAAAGTTAAAATCTGATGCTACACAAAAACTAACAATGCATCAAAACCAATGTTGTTTCTAATCTTTGACATGTCCAAGACTGTGATAAAAGGTGAAAAAAAATCCAGTCCACAATCATATTTTATATTGAAAATAAGTAATTTTCTGTGTTTTTTTTCCCAAATCAGTGACATCATTTATGAATTTGGCAATTAAAGAGTTAAAATCCTGAATTTTTTTTAAACATTTAGTAGTTTTGATTAGGACTGAGGTCGGTTAATAGATTTATGCAAAAAAATTTGAAAAAAATATTTATCTGATACATTTTTACAGCAGTTTAAAGTAGTGGCTTTTTTCAGCCACGAACATAACGAAAGGGTAGTGAATTTGCCCAGAGTGTACTGTTGAGTTTTTGAAAAATTTCAAAGCATTTTCCCAAAATATGTGTCAAAATAAGATTTGTCACCAAAAATCATTCCATTTGCTGAAACAAAGAAAAAGTTACGGCCAAATTAAGACTAAAAAATACCCCTTAGTGGCTGAAAAAAGCCACAACAGCACATAAGGGTTAACCGAGGCCCTTATCGGTTAATACTCGGTTAACCATGTGCGCGCCGCAACCTCGAGATACAGAGTTAATTTTTAACACCTTTTTAATAACTGTTTGGACCCCATTTGAAACGAAATTAATTTATAGAAATAAAACGCAGTGGTAAGTACAGAGCAGTTAAAGTAGCCGCGTTTCCATCACCCTTCAAAATGAAATTGCCAATTGAAAATAAGCACATTAACTCCGTGTCCGCAAATAATAATAATAATCATCATTATTGTAACATTTTATTAGGCTGCATATTATGTAGAAGACGCCTTTATCCAAAAAAAGGAACAAAGCACAAATAAACACAATATTTTTGACGCATATCCAGTGTGTGTGGAGCGCGCATCGATGGCTGC